CGGGCAAGAGAACCAGAATACTCTTGCAAACTCACAATGGAAAAAGAGATGTACCTGTGATTCCCCTTCACATCCACAGATTGCACAAACATCCTCCACATCCACATGCCTTCGTTTAAGATTTTGGCGAACCGCTAGTGCATTCAAACAAGCTCTCCATAAGAAGCTCCTAATTTTTGGTGGAACCTGTAGCTTCCAAATACTTGTCCACAACTGTCAGTGGTTAGTCCTAACGCTAGGTTCCCCCTGCCCTTGTCTCCCCAACTCCCCGTTTCTTTGTAAAAATTGGGCTACCTCATAAGCCGACTTAACCGTAAAACCACCATGTTTCGTGAAGTGCCATGTGCGTTTTTCTGGACAACCCCATTTGCTGATTGCCAGGCCCTTAATCAACTCGGCTTCCGGCTCCAAAAAGAAACGGTCCACCTCCGCGCTTCTCCATTGTTTAGTAGCCGGGTCAATTAGGTCCCTCACATATGTCGGCATCTCCGCATGATTAGAGAGAGCTTTAAAGGTATATGGGACAGGTAACCATGGGTCCTCCTTCACTCTAATGTTGTCACCCGTACCCACCCTCCATCGTAGACCCGCAACTAGAACACGTCGGCCTTGCAGGATACCCTTCCAGCCCTAGGAGGATCCGCAAACTGACCCAGCGGAGAGAAAACTTCCTCCAGGGTAATACTTATCGTGAAGAAGCCGTGCCAAAAGTGAGTCGGAGTGGAGAACCAAACGCCACCTAATCTTGGCTAACATGGCTAGATTAAAACAGATTAAATCGCGAAAACCCAACCCCCCATTTGTTTTCTGTTGCGTCATTTTTTGCCATGCCACCCAATGGATTCCTTTAGTATCCTTTTGTCCTTTCCACCAAAATCGTGTAATCTCCCGCTCAAGCTCCTTGCATAGACCAATGGGTAGTTTGAAACAAGACATACTTGTTGGAGAAAGATGGATAAGAGAGAATATGGAAGAGAGTTTTAAACAGAAATACTGAAGCTTTATTGATTTCCTAAAAATTGATTACAACACTAGGCCATCTTATTGGCTATTTATAATAATATTCAGATCTTTTCATAACAGACATAACTCTTGGATTAGTTCCAAGAGTTGCAGACACAACTCTTGACTTCTAAAGAGATACAACTCTTCTTAAACATAACTCTTCTCAAGAGATACAACTCTACTTTAATAGCTGATACAAATGCATTACGTTTAACACTCCCTCTTAATGCATTTGTCCTGTGACATTTAGGTTTTCTCTGTAATAGTAGAACTTCTCTCTTGGAAGTGCTTTTATAAAAACATCTGCAATCTGCTCATCAGTACCACAAAATTACAATTCAATCTCTCCATCTTCAACCAATTTTCTGATAAAATGATGACGAAGTTCTATGTGCTTTGACCTGCTATGAAAGATTGGGTTCTTTGTCATGGCAATTGTGGACATGTTATCACATTACAATTTTGTTGGAGTGTTTTGCTCTTGATGAAGATCTGCTAATATTCTTCTAATCCAAACTGCTTCACATGCTGCACTTGTGGCTGAAATATATTCTGCTTCGGCTGTTGATAATGCCACTGTACTTTGCTTCTTCGATGACCATGATATAACTTTTTTCCCCAAGAAAAACACATGCCCAGATGTGCTTCTTCTATCATCAATTGCACCAGCCCAATCACTGTCTGTGAACCCAACTAAAATGCTTTCTTTCTCTTGTGTATATTTGAGGCCATATCCTTTGGTTCCTTGCACATATCTTAGTATTCTTTTAACAGCAGCAAAATGATGATTACTTGGATCATTCATGAATCGAGATACAACACTAACTGCATGAACTATGTCTGGCCTTGTATTAGATAAATAAATAAGTGAGCCAACAATACTTCTATACATAGAAGCATCAGCTCTTGGTGCTCCACCATTACTTGAAAGCTTTAAATTAATTGCCATTGGAGTATCCATTGGCTTGCAATTCAACATATTGAACCTTTTCAAGAGATTTTCTGCATACTTTTCTTGATACATAAAAATCCCTTTTTCCAATTGTTGGACTTGAATTCCTAGAAAATACTTCATAGAACCCAAATCAGTCTTCTCATATTGTTTCATCATGTCCTTCTTGAATGCTTCTACCATCCTTGGTTTGGTACTTGTATAAATCAAGTAATCAACATAAAGACACACAATAAGAAAATCATGTGTACCTTCTTTCTTGAGATAGAGTGATGGCTCACTTGGACTTCTTACAAATCCACTTTGACAGAAATATTGATCAATTTTGCTATTCCAGGCTCTTGGCGCTTGCTTTAAGCCGTATAGTGCTTTCCAAAGTCGACAAACTTTGTCTTCATTTCCCTTTTCAATATATCCTTGTGGCTGCTCCACGTAAACTTCTTCTTCAAGTTCTCCATTAAAAAAAAAAA